TATTAATATTTCAGAAATATTATTTGATATTAAATATTATAACATTACTAGAATATTATTATTAGAATATCTAATATTCAAAGAATATTCTCAGAATACCATTTAATATTAAATAATAATATAGGGCTTATAGGGCTTATTCTATAACTCTTAAGCTGGTTTTGCTATCGTTACGTCATCGTTGCACAAATGTAACATACATATAATCAAATTATTATAGCCTGATTCTGTAACTTCGTAACGACAATATATAGCGATTTTTTTACAAGTAATAAGAACCTCCCTTAGTTCAATGAGCCAAACCGCTAATTCATATGTTGATATCCCTATAAGCGTGTAATGTTATTTAATATTCTGAAGTAATAGTAATATTCTAGAGATATTCTTAGAATATTAGACGTAATATTCTAATAATATTCTAGTAATATTATTTAATATTAAGTAATACTTCTGGACTATTAACAGGTGGTTATATGTCCAGTTCTAATAATATTAAAAAAATAATATTATTTAATATTATTTTAATATTATATATTTTTTAAATATTTAACTGTATGTATATACAGGGTCTCCGATATGTCTAAAGCTATAAGACATAGCAACGTGGAGAAATACAGATACCGTGGAGGAAAGCGGCTAGCCGCGATTCGCAAATATCACGATCACGTACCATCACGGTAGAAGATATCTTTCTTTCTATATATTCGATCTACCACTTCTCATGCGCTCCTTAGCTCAGAATAATTAGTTCCTCGTTAACTATTGCAAAATTTGCATAATGGTATCTACTTTTTCCATCAATTTCACTCCTTCTATTTGCATACGAGTGAATGTACGAAACATACCAGACAGCTTATATAATATATAGGATCTCCCAAACTAATTTCGGTTCCCGCAGTGCGCAGATAGAATAGATGAAACTGAGCAGAAAAGTCATGCGTCATTTTGCGAAATTCACAATAAATAATGAGAAAATTAATTATTTTATTATAGCTGATGAACGCACGAGAAAGGGTAAGTCACACACTATAAAAAAAAATAGCTTATTTCTGAAAATCTCCTAGAAATTATGAGCATCAACTGATTTCTACAAGCGGAATAACACAGTGAACAGCGAGCGGCATGTGACAAAGAGTTGTGCGCCGAAAAGAATCACACTTCTCGCTATCAGTTGATACTCATCGTTGCTAGATCTTCAGAAGTAAGCCATTTCTTTTAATATAGAATCCGGCCAGTGATGTAGTGGCGAAGGACGTCCTACGTCCCTCTGACATTAACACATATATAACACATCCGTGTAGCTAAGCGAAGCTCTGTGAAATTTAGGTGGCTTTGGAAAGTAAAGTGAGTTGAACCGGTCAAGCGATATTTTAGATTATAAGGCGCGAAAGTGAGGCTCTTTCTCATGGTTCAGTACAGTCAACGACAGCGATCGCAGCGGCAGTCTCCACGCAGAAAAGCGATCATTAAATGTCCAAATGTGCACTGAATTCGGCTTACCGCTTCCATTGTGTTCATCAGCTCAAACAAAATAATTAATTCCTCATTAACTATTGCAAATTTTGCAAAATGACACATA